ACTGTTTACATAGACGCTAAATAAATTAATTAGCTAAGATGTGCATTGACATGCCCCGCAGCATTTAATCAGATCTTTTTTGACATGGACAAAGTGATAACGCTGGCTGTGAAGTGTCTAATCTGCCGGAAATATAACAGAAGAAGAGAGACTGTTTGTGTTTCTGCAGGCTGCATTCAGATGGATTCAGGTAGACAGGGTAGATAATGTGGAAAGTTTAGTGAGCTATCTGGCTAGCTATTAACTAGGGATGAACAATTAATCTAAAACTTCACAATAAAAATCACAAAATGGTCTAATGCAACTTTCAAATCGCGGGATGCGCAATATTTGCCAAATGTGTTTCAAAATATTTTAAATGAAATATTGTTCTGCTGCTGAGATATCCTGGCCTACACATCATATAAAGTTAAGAAAACATCTTTATTTGGTCCAGATCCTGGCAAAAATCACACCATAATCATTTAAATGTGTTTTTCAATGAAAATGAGAATAATTATGTAAAAATTATAATTTCCTCCTATATCACAAATCATATCAGTCAAATAATCGCAATTCGGTATTTTTTCAAAGGGTTACACCTTCTCAATCTAACTGAAAATTCCCTCCGATCTGGTTGGATTGCTCTGGTCTCTTCCGATTGAGGCAGTAAATGAGGCATTTGTATTCTGATTGGGTTATTATTCCAATTATTAGTGGAATATTAGGGTCCATGTAAACACAGCTATTGCTTAGTGTCTCTTCTCTCGGGTTGCAAAGCTACTTTATTTTCCGGTTTCATTGTTGTCTGTCTATCTGTCATTAAAACCTGTATCAAAGACTCTGACTGTTTGAGTATGATGGAGTGGCGTAGTGAGCAGAATCAGAGGAATCATGAGTTGGGTGGGTGGGGCTCTTCAACACTGTGCAGCCATTGTTTTTTTGTTGTTTTTTTTTTCCTTGAGATACACACAAACATGAGAGGAGGTGTGCATACACACACGCACACAAACACACACAAAAGTGAAAAAGTTAAAAAGGACAAAAGAGCTTTTTATGTGTTTCAGTGGTCTGTTTGGCAAAAAGCCATCAAACTGTTGGAAGGAGGAAACAGAGAGAGAAAAGTGGAGGCTTCTGGCCATGCATGCACACACAAACACACACAAACACACACAGGTCAATGTGATAATCAGGAATGTATTAAAGAAAATCATGAGGTGCTACAACTCTCAATAGATCTCAGCTATAATCCATTCTCCTCTATTTTGAAACATGTTGGTGTGAATTTCCTGTGTAGTTAAACTCTTCAACTTCAGACTATTATGGGGTTGATGTGGGAAACTTTGTGACATTTATTTTAAAATTGTGTCAAAAACAGCCTGACCATCAACATGCCTGATTTTATTAGACGATAACAGATTATCACAGCTATATTGATATTGGTGTATGTGTCGGCTGATAAGTGACAGGATATTACTGTGTAGAAAAAGCAAAGATTTGATTCATTTTTCAGCAGTTTTACATATTTTGTCCACCAGAGAGAGCTGACAAGTTTATATTGTAACTGTACTTTGGGGATCCCGTGACGCTTCCTCTAGCACTACCAATTTTTAGTTTTAATTCTTTAAATGTTTTGTGAAATCTCTCAACAGCTTCTGGATAGATTGCCATGAAATATGGTACAGATATCTATGGAGCCCACAAGATGAATCCTAATAACTTTGGTGATCTCCCAACTTTTTCTTTTGCACCACCAGCAGGTCAAGATTTTTATTTGCTGATGCTTTGGTTTATGACCCGTTACCTCCAAAGCAAAAGACATGTTTTGATTTTACATTACTGTAAATAATTCTGTTATTTTCTTTAAAAAAAACTGTAGCCTAAATAGCTTAAAAAATCCATCAATTCAAAGGATTTTCAATTCAAATATCAGTATTAATAATCTAGCACCTGCTGGGTTACTGTCAAGATTTCTGCCTTCTTAAGCCTCACAACACCACTGTAATCTGATCCCTTTAAAACATTTACATTATTATTTATAATTATTAAGTTATTATTCTAAAGTCAAGGTAAAGGTAAATGTGTCTCACAAGGTGTAGTTAAAAAAAATGCTCTCCTGGATTTGTGTGCTTAACTCAATTTAAATGCAATGCTGGATAATTTCACCGAGGCATTGAAAAAAATGATTCTGTATGTTATAGTGTATGTACAGTAGCAGTGGGGAAGTCGGTATTGTCTGATTTTGAAGCCATAACTAAAGAATTGGATTGTGGTTAAAGACAACAGATGTTTTCAGCTGTTCAACAGTCTGCTACGCTTTTGGATTGTTTGAGGTGACAAATGTGTTGTCCCCCATATTAACTGAAAGGGTATGAACATGTTTTAATCAGAAAAGTCAAAGTTGAAAGCTGTTAATGAACCTTCGTGTACAGAGATATTTTATACTCAAGTGTCTCGGAGTCTTCAAGTTGAATATGTTGAGCTTTGCTTTTTAGTAGAGTCAAAATCAATAAAACATGAATACAGACAGCAAAAAAGAAACATCTATGTTGTATTTTGAATAAAGAAAAGTCAGTGAAGTTTGCATTCAGTGTTTCTTACCAAAACACATTGTGTACATCCTTGAGGTCTAACAAACATGATGCGTGCATTTCCCTTCTCACAAAACATTTACAAAGCAGATATTTTGAATATTTAAATCTTGCAGTATTTGTATCCATGCTACACTAAAGACAGGATGTTAATCACGGCGCCCGCATGCTTGTGTGCATGCACAATACTTAAATGGGAACTTATTCATAAAAAATTCGGGGTACCTTTAGGTAAAAGTACATAGTAGTAAGTACTATCATAATGTATTATAAGTGAAAAAAGTAAAAGCACCCATTATTTCAGAATAATATCTATTATATTATTGGATTACAATCATTGATGCAGTCATGTGTAATGTTAATGTTTTTAACTACATAATGGGAAGCTTAATTTATATTTATATAATAATACATCATAATTTAGTGGTTGATTGCATTTTGTATTAATCTGAATTTGTAAAGTAACTGTAGTGAAAACTGCAGTATTTACCTATATTGTAGTGGAGAAGAAGTATAAAGTAGCATGAAATGGAAATATTATAAGTAAAGTACCTCGAAACTGTTAGTTTCCTCCACTGCTACCTTTGAATGTACAGTGTGTATGTGAGTGTGAGTGTGTTACAGTGGCATCAAGAGACGAGGTGAAGTTGCCAGTAATTAGTACATTTTTCAATGATATTAGATTAAAATAAAATGTTACATTTGTTTAAAAAGAAATTTGTAACATTTGAAATTAAAAGGCCCTAGGTTTTTTAATAAGTAATATGTTAAAGATCATAAAGCACATCTTTATCTTTAAATGCTATATATATATATTTAATTCACTTGTTCTGTTTACTCTAACTGGAAACGAGAAGGAAAATGAAATACTACAGTCCTCTTCAAATTCAAACACTCAAACAGGGAAGCAGATTAAAGAACTAAAAGAAAATCAAAGGATTCAGCCCTGGCAGTGCAAATGAACAAAAACATTAGATCCAGTGACTTTTGTTTGAAACTTACTGGATAAAAGGAAGCACAATCGCCCAAAGTCACTCAGACAAAGGAATTATGCATATGAACACTAAACCTCACTCTGGTGTATTGGGTGAAGTACAAAGAAACTTGACCAAAAAGTAAAGTAGCTGTCAGATTGAGAGACCCAAACTGCTGCAGTACTTTTAGAGAACAAGCTCCAGTCTTTGTTCTACTGCAATTCAGCCATAAAATCTACTTGTTAATTGATTTATCCAGGATCAATAATCAGTTTATCTGTGTCAGCATTGTCTTAAGAAATGAATGGAACTGTTTATGGTAATCTTAAAAAAAAAGTGCTGGGTGTTTACTTATTTGACTGTAGATAACGGTCAGAAAATGCGCTTTTATCTTATATCACAGCACATTTTTGCTCTTGTGCAGGGTTCAGTGGGTGTGGCATTAGACAATGAGATTATATATATAATTCTTGGGGGGGGGGATTATGGTATGTTGAGGGCTCAACACCCACTGAATACGTTGTACACCAAAGCTGTATTTGACTCCACTGGCTAATTAGTGCGATTACTGCACAGCTGGATTAGCCAGACGTTTTACTGAGATTTGTCAAAAGGATCACTCACTTGATGAAGGCTTCATACCGACAACTTCTGCTTCAGCAGAGTCTCTCTATTTTAGGACTGCAAGACTCTGTCGGGGGAGTAGCATTCTAAATTTAAGAGAGTGGGAAAACTGAGGCAGGCTTTTATGAAAAATGGTTCCTCTTTTTTTGTTATGTCTTTAATTCTCTCTAATGTAAAACAAAAAAGCTCTGTGAGTGCAGCTGGAAGCTTTTTGCTCTCCAGAATGATCAAAATCTGATAGTTTAATTGGTGCCTTGACACTGAGGTGGTTTCATTTGTAGTATTATTATTGTAGAAATGAAAAAAATGTCTGACCAACAGTCCAAAACCCAAAGACATTTTTTTACGATCATAAATTACAAAGAAAAGTAATAAATCCTTACATTTCAGAAGCTGAAATCTGCTAATGTTCATTTTTGCTTTAAAAATGACACAATTAAGAGATTATCTAAATAGTTGCAGATTAATTTTCTTTCAACAAACTAGTCAGTTAATTGACTAATCATTGCAGCTCCACAATTACAATTTTCCCTTTGATCTCTGCCCCTTCAGTCATCCTCAAATTAACTTTTTATTCCGTCTACCTTCCCTTCATCTTCTTCTACTTTTTCTGCTCTCCTCTCCTGCTAATCTTTCTCCTCTCTTGTCTCTTTTTCTTGACCTTTCCTTCCCCGTCTGACCTCTCTGTACCCTCTCTGTTATCACTGTCTTGTCTACTCGGCTCTATTTGCTTCACCTTTCCAATACCCTCTTTACCCCCCCCCCCCCCCCCCCCCCCCCCCCGCTATCTGTCTCTGCTCACTTATCTGGCATCTTTCTCTCCTCTCTGCAGCATCCCGTCAGACCAGCATAGCTCCTCCAAGCCCCCGCTGAGCTCCTCGGCCATGACATCACGCATCCTGCTGCGGCAACAGCTGATGCGGGAGCAGCTTCAGGAGCAGGAGCGGCGGGAGCAGCAGAGGCAACAGGCCTCCCACTACCCACAAACCACGGCAGCACAGACCCCTGCCATCAATGTCAGTGTCCCAGCCAGTTTACCGCCTGCTTCCCAGGTGCCAATGGAGGTGCTCAAGGTAAGCAGCCGTGGTTCTAGTTTGCGATGGCAGCGAAGAAGAGGGAATGCGGTAGTATGTATGATTAGTCAAAGTTATTACTGTATTATGTATAAAGTTTCCACCTCTGGAATTAGAAGTTGTATGTGTCATTGTTACAGTCTGAATGGCCCAGGCAGCGCTGTATTTATAGGGTTTATTGAGTCGTGTGTGTGGACAGTCAGGAAATCGTGGTTTTACTATGATTGTGTGTAAAAAAAACACTGGAGTGAGTGAAGTGTGTTAAAATGCGTATATGGGGATTATCTTTCCTGAGAGAATTCCTCTTTAATGCATGCTGTGCTTCCAGCCATTTGGATTTAGCCATCTTTAATCCTATTTGCTCAGCTAGATTCACATCTTTTCATAGCTTTGATTCCCTGGCAGTCCGAGGGACAGGAGACTGTTAAGATTTTCTGTGCAAGTAAAGACCGTTGTGTTTGAGGGTACATTTTAAAAAGGCAGTCTGGTAAGTTTTCCTTTTTGTTTTCTGCATGTGTTTTCGGAGAGAGCCGTGAACATGTTATTGTTATTCTGTTATTCTGAATTTGTGTGTTATTGCTATTATGTGTTCACATGGTCACACTGTACATTTGTTCGAGTACATTTTCCTTTATTTTGGTGAGTAACAGTATAAAACGCTCAGCATGTGATTGTGATTGTGTGGAAAGATTTGAACAATATAAAGAATTTAAGTATTTTGTATAGGTGTTCCTGACAAAAAACTTTAGTGCGTCGCTTGAGTCTCAGTTGTCTGTACTTTTGGTTTCACGTCATTGCAAAGATGATGGAAACGCATACTCGTATATTGTTTTATATTTTCTTTTTCTCCAGTAAAGTCCAAGAAGCCTTTTGGCATATTTCTGGGGGGGGGTTCAGTACACTGATTTTTTGTGACACATTAGGAAATATTTGTACAAATATATAATCATGTTTCTGCATTTGACTTTCCAAGATGATAATGATAAAAGTATCTTCAAATTTTAAATTACAAAGGCTTTAGTCACTTAATAATGTCTTCAGTGGGGGCTAATAAAAAAGTAATGTTACCACATACATTGTTGTTTTAAAATATTGCATTTAAAAAGATAATATAGCTGCTATACAGGTTGTGTATTATCATTATTGTTTAGACCCCTTAATGAAAAAGAGGATTTTTAATTAAAGGAGACATCAAAGTTTTAATTGTATAATCACACATTAGGTACAGTATATAGTACTGATATACTCTGAGCTTTTGAGTAATCTTTGTTTAACTAAATCCATCCACAACACATTCAGAGATTTCACGGTTATTTGCTTAGCCACACTTTCATCACCCTAGATGTGTGTGGCATGGGCCAGCAGTGAAGGACAAATACAGTGTATCTATTGAAAACATTGCCCTCCAAATGCAGCATAAACATTACTTACTCTCACTAATCTGCAGCTCTTTGAGAGGTTTAGGGAGCCCCCTCCCCGAACCCTCGCCCTGTGTACAATACATCAAGTTAGAGTAATTTCTCTGCTTTGGCGAGAGCTTACAGACATTCTTCATTGACTGAAGTCTTCAAATGAAAAGGTCGTTCCAGCTTGGCGCTGTTGAGCTGGGTTAACCTGCTCCCCTGTCTGTGGGTAGATTAGCAGAGTCCACACAAAGCTCAGGGGTACCAGGCAGAGCTGCTGGACCTCAAAAAGTGCAAACATTAAGCTCAGATGAGTTTATCTAAAGACTGATTGGACCCTTAATTAACCAAGTGACCTTTAACCTTGTGGGGAATAAGTATGGGATCAGTTTAGGGATCAAGAAAAAGGCGAGCACAGCCTTACCACACACCACACGCTAATTCAGTGAAGAATGCTCGTAATTAGCCCCCACTGCTTTCATTCCATGGCATATTTAAGAGGGGAAAAACGCTGCTTTGAAATTTATGTAGGATGACTTCCTAAAAGGGTTAAAAAAAATTATTTCTAGAAGAAAAAATGTCAAGGGATTTATAAAGCCATGAAAAGAACAAAGTACTCCTCAACCCTGTACAAAATGTACATTTCATTTGGATTATACAGTCAGTATAGCTCGTGACCAGTATGCATCAGAAAGTATACAGAGATATCTAATTTTGGTTGATTTCTGAATGAATGCAACAAGCCCTTTGTATACCTTACTAAATATTTGGTACAGTTTTGTATACAAATAATTTTCTGTGCATTGTGCAGTGTATTAATTTCATGAAAATAAAAATACAGTATCATCTTAAGTGCATTGTTGTCTACATTGGCTAATATTACTTAATACATTTAGTCAAAGAAAATTATTATTAGCTTTCTAAAGGTGTAAATTAAGTAGTCAATACATCAGCAAACCACGCCGTCAGAGCTTTTTTTATTCAATTTTTAATACAAAATTAATTGTTTAAGGACACGAGGTTTGTATTTTGTTAGTCGTTTGCCAAGTTTTTGCATGATAGCATGACAGATACGTCAGGCGGAGAACATCACAGGTTGCTCTGATGTAGCTGCTCACATTAGCATCACAGTTGTTGTCTGCAAGTTCCAGAGAGCACGTTAGCAGCTTAACTGTGAGACAAAGTGGCCTATTCTTCTAGTCTGCATAGCAAATGGGAGCATTCTTTTTAATGTACCCCGGTATTACCATCATGGAATGCCCAAAGCACGCAAGTAAGAAAAAATCAGTCTCCTCTCTCAGTACAGCAGGACTCTTTGTGCGTGTCTCTGCAGAGTCTCTGACTTTTGGGGGGTTGTGTTGCTGATGCCCTCTGGGTTGCTGATGGCTAAAAACGAGCTGATAAACAACAAGATGTCTTGTTTGCTGTGGTTGCAGATGCTGTGAGTTAGCAGTTGATGTCACATTTCCAAACAGTGTATTTTGGAAAGAGTACATTAAGTGAAGTTGGGTAAAGTAAAGTTCAAGCCCTGCTGGCTTTGAGATCTCTCTATCGTCCATCGCTCTGCCCATTGGCTCTCACACAAGCCTGAAATGATTAGTGTTAGAGATATATCACAGTGTATCTACGGCTTTTATAGATCTAAGACCAATACTTATATGTGAACACCACAATGTTTGGACCCATATATTATACATATATTATAGACCGTGACAAAGACCACTCTGTGTAGACTTTGTATTCACACCATGAAAAATATCCTTTTTCACTCTCCTAGGTCCTGAAAAACAGATACTTTTTCACCCTCAGACTAGTTCATCTTAACAAAAGCAACAGTATGTATTGACAAGGCCAAGATGTTCCACCCTGAGTTCTGTGGCCCCCAGGGGGCTCAAGTGAACTCAGGGCAGTGAAATCAGATAATTATGTGTTATAATTTAGGAAATCCCTGGAGACGAGAACAAGCTTGCTTTTTTAATGTAAATACAAAACTAACTGGTTTCAGCTGGTTAAGTAAACACAAGATCTTTGAGGTATAAATTAGACTAATTTTAGGGCTACGACTAATGATTATTAATTTTTTTTTTACAATAGACTGATCTGCTTATTATTTTCTCAACTACTTAACCAATCTTTTGGTCTATAAAATGTTAGACAATAGTGAAGAATACTTCCCAAACATCGGAATCAGCATCAGTTTTTTTGCCAAGTAGGTTTACACATACAAGGAATATGCTTTGGTATGTTGGTGCATTACAGTTAACATAGTAAGTAGAAGATATAATGAAGTAAGTACTACAATTCAAGAAGCACAAATATAAAAGTTTTGAGAAGCTGAAACCAGCAAAGAAAAATACTTCAACAGTAAATCAATTTAGTCATGTAACCAACTATTTTTTATTATCGATGAATCTGCTGATTCCTCGATTTTATTGCTCAAAATTGTGAGCATTGTCCCCTTCAGCCTAAGCTGACATCTTCAGATTAACCACAAAATCTTAAGATATTCCGTTTGCTATCGGATAAGACAAAACAAGCAGCGGATTCTCACAATTTGACATGATTGGCATTTTTGCCTGAAAATTAAACAATGAATTGATTATCAATAGAGTTGCAGATTCATTTTTGACTCGCTTCAAACCAAGTCCAGTTAGCCTTTATTTTAACCCACCTTGGGTGGATGAACTATGACTTTGATGACTGAGAATCTTTACAGACATTCAGCTCTAAACATAATTTCATGGTGAGGAAATCAAAGGACAAGACCTGAGCAGCGTTAAACGTGCTGAATCTCATGTAGTAGTGGGTTTATATAGTCTTGCTTTTTTAAATTTACTTTTCTTGTGCACATACCAGGCTCAACAACCTCTTTGTTTCTATTCTTAGTGCCAGGGCTTTAACAGTGTTTTTGCTTCTATTTTTAGACAGTGACAGCTATCACTCTGTGTGTGTGTGAGAGAGAGAGAGAGAGAGAGAGAGAGATACACTGACTCAGTGGGTCTTTGTGTCTGTGTATAACAAAAATATTGTTGTACATGTATGCATACAGCAGTGGTTTCCAACATGGTAGTCCACAATCCCCAAGGGGTAATGAGATAAATCTGAGGGGGTCGTGAGATGATCAGCAGGATAGGACAGTAGGGGGAAAAAACTAATTTCTGCTTTACAAATGTCTGACTTTTTAGACTCTTCTTTATCTTTGCGTTTTTTGTGAAATATTAAATATATAACAATAATAACAATAATAAATATTTGAATAATGCTGTGGTTGCACTGATAACACATTGTACACATATGCAACCTATTAATCTAATTAATGAAACATAACATTTTTTAGAAGGGTAAGGGTATCTATTGCTGTCCAGGTCTCCATGCTATACCTGAAGATATAAGTATAGATTGTATTTTTAGATCCACTGGCATCCATAGAAAACAGTATTTGGCAAAACTGCAACAAAAAAAGTTATATAACTCAATTTACAAGAGGACCTTTGTTATAAAATGTTTTGATTATTATTAATTCATCAGTTATCATGAGGCAAGACATGCAGGTAACCTTTAAGTAGTCGAGTGATCCTACAAGCTAAAGAAATTGGTGAAATGATAAATACAAATGCCTCCACAGATGTCAAACATCCAGAAAACAAGATAGAAAAGCTGACACCAAACCATACTTTAATATTTGTATACCAATAAATGTACTTTTCTGTACATATTTTGTAAACCTGACCTTCAGAGTAACAAAAGTTGCCAAAGCAGCTCGGGTCACTCTTTTTCGCCTAAAATGTTGGAACGTTGGCTTTCAAGAAAATATTTAAATTATTAAATATTTAAGAACTAATTCTCAAAGACATTCAATTTACTAAAATGGAATACTGTTCAGATACATTAATTGATTTATTAATTAACTCAGAGATGAAACGAATAGTAGATTGTTTAAGTCAAATGTAAAAAAAAAAAAAAGAATCACTACTTCCAGCTTCTCAAATGTGAATATTTTCTGTTTTTGTTTATCTTCTGTGATCTAAATCTAAGTATCTTTGAGGTTTGGACTGTTCGTCAAACAAAACAAATAATTTAAGGCTAAATACTTTGTGATGAGCATTTATTAATTTTGCACTATTTTCTGCACCAAACAATTAATGAATTAATTGAAGGATAAAAAAAAAGTCAACAAAATACAAATGACAAATCCCTACAGACACAATATCACAAATTAAAAAAATTTTTTACAGAAGAGACAAAAAAAATGCTTTGTCACTGTGGCCCATAATGTATAAAGCATATCATTTTGTTTTTTTGAGATTTTGATAAAGTAATGCCTGTATGCTGATGGTTGATAATTGTGGAAATGTAATGTAAATAAGATTTCAAAACCCTAATGAGAAGAAAGTAAAGACCAAAGGATTCTATTGTAATGGCTCTTCTTAATGTTCTGTAAATATGTCCCCCTTAGTGGTGTCAGCTTTACGACCCTGTATTGACGACTTAAAGTCTAAGGTGATGTCAGTCACCTGCGGGATGTTAATGTACCTCTCACATGAGTGTCCCCTACAGAACAATGATACCGTATCTGAGCATGGAAGAAAACTAAAATTGGAGACTTTTGACAGTCACAGAGACAGAACTGTCAGGTAACATGACCTGATTGGTTTTAATCTTTAAAACAATTGAGGGGTACAAGCAAAGAATGTCACTATGTCACACTTGTGTACAGGTCGCTCTCCAAAGAGTACACAGACAATTACATGGATAATGATAGAGTTAGAGCCGCAACGATTAGTTCATTATAAAATTATTTGATAATTTTGATTCCTTCAATGTGAAAATCATCTTAGGCTTATAAAATCATCATTATTTGCAGCCCTGCATGTGGACTTGTGTGCATGTGTTCAGTTAAATTATGTTATCTTCAACATGGCCGTGTTTTTTTAGCAGTTAGTTTTCACAGTTATTGAGTATCCTTGCTCAGGATTAGAACGAGTCATTGCATTATTTTCGTTTTCTTAGACTCCACGTTTTGAGAATGAAGTTGCTGTTGGGAGTCAGTTAATTATTTAACCATATCATTTCAACTGCCAAGTGCAGTGTGCAGAGTTTTCACAGAAGCAGAGGAAATGTCAAAAGTAGCTTAGAGTTCATCTAGAGCCTGTGACCTCCTCAGCTCTGTTAATGAACCCAAATTCTCTGGGCTTAAGCAGAACAAATACATCAGTTTAAAAAATTAAGTAACCAAGGCTGTTTTTCATTGGTTTTGTTGTTGATTGTTGCTGTTGTTGCTGATTAAAAATGTGATTTAGAGACAAAGACAAACAAGTCAGTTTTATTTATATAGCCCAATATAACAAATCACAATTTGCCTTCATGTGCTTCACAATCTGTACAGCATACAACATACTCTGTCCTTAGACCATTCTTAGACCATTGATTCAAATGAGGAAAAACTCCAAAAACATTTATGGGGGGGGGGGTTATGGAAGAAACCTCAGAAAGAGTAACAGAGGAGGGATCCCTGTTGCTCTTCAAATTACAAAATGGAGATTGTAAAACATAGGTGAAGAGAATGGATCCAAACAAGGACGTAACAGACTTTATTCTTTGTGTATAACTGGGAACGCACGCGTAGCACCCACAGGGTTAAAAAAAAGGAGCCAAAGTAACAGCCCCAGGCAGGTTTCAGTAAAAGGGGTGGCCTTGCAAAACAAAGGCACTAACTGTTAGTACCACATCCTGACATCAAGTGATACACCATAAAGGAATAAATTCATATTTTACATAAAACAACAACACTTTGAAAAAGCTCATTGTCCTTCACTGAGATTCCATGACATGCATAACAAATTGCTTTCCTTGCCTTTTAAAAGATGAGCTGGATGTGTCTGTCGTCATACTAGCAGAGTTAGTCTTCTGGTGCACCCAAGAGGGAAGCAGCTACAGCACTTATTAGTTAGATAGAAGTTAAAGGTTTTTTTGTTTGTTGGACGGACCAGTTTTACTGTAAAAGATGCTTGAGATGCTTGGATACCAACCTTATGAGGTATGTTTAAAACTAAGGCTGTCTTTTTCGGAGAAGAGGTATTTTCTTGAATTATAGATCATTAATAACATGACAAAATGAGATTAAATTCTGCCTAATCTTTAAACCAATACAGCTGATTTATCACAACAGTGCTGATTCATGCTTGTCAATGTATGATGTGTCTACATTTGGTGATGAAATATATATTGTCGTTTTTTTTATAAAACACAGAAAAATTCAGGCAGTAGATGGGGTGGTTTAAATATAGACTCCAAATGTGAGCAAGAACACAGCAGCACTGTTTCATTTAAAATGTGTTACAGCCTGACAAACACTGTCTCTGAAGTTTCTTTATTTGCCTGCAGTAGTGTTGTGGATCATCTGTGTGGGGATTAATGAGCCGCAGAAATCAAATCTATCCATAACCGGGGAGTGCAGAGATGGTTGTGCATGTAATTTTTGTGTTTGTGCACTATACATGTAGAAAAGCAGAAGGTAGTAGTTAAAGAAAATATGTAGAAATTGTTTCTACTGAGACTCTTTGAGATAACACCACATGACAGCGCCTCAGAAGAAAAATGCATAATACATTGAACGCGCTTTGAAATCTGTGCCAAGTTTATTTTAATATTATACAATACTGTGCAATATTAGGGAGAGACTTTGAGGTATAATTAGAGTTGTTTTAATCTAATAAAAGACAACGTGAAATATGACTACAAGAATAATATAGTTGCAGTTTAAAGTAGGATTGTTTGAAATGAACTTTCCCTTTTCAGCAGCATTTCTGTAACACATCCAGTATCCTGCCACTAATATCTTTTATTTTTTTTGCCTTTTCTACTCCTTTTCCTACCTTCTTTCCGTCTTTTTCCACCAATAGGTCCAGACTCACCTGGAGAACCCAACCAAATACCACATTCAACGCTCCCAGCAGCAGCAGGTGAAGCGGTACCTGGGAAAGCTTGGCTCTCAGGTGTTGAGCTTACCCTGCCACAACCAGTCCTCTGACCACGGGGGCATGCCGCCAGGGCCGGGCAACAGCGCTCCCAACAGCCCTATGGCCTTACTGACCCTGAACACTAACTGCGAGAAAGAGGTGAGTTCTACCCCCCCTCAATCCCCTTCAAGGTCTCCCTTATCTCCAGACACCCTTTCTCCCCTCTCCCCCCTGTTGGACTTCACTGATCACATGGAAGACCTGGTTAGAGCTGGGACCAAATTTACTCCCCGCACCATTGTTTGACACATGTGTCACAAATACAGCGCCCAATCCGCCTTCCCGCTCTGCATTGGCGAAAAAGCCCAGTAAGCTCTGTCTGATATGTGCTGGGTCCAGGCTACAAGGAAAATAGCACTCATGACTCTTCCCAGGACAAGCCAGGGCCCAGTGTGCTGGTAGTCTTCTCCATCCCTGTCTTGATAGGTAACAGAAAAAGCATGGCGAATGTGTTAAAAAACAGGAAGCACTCAACATATCCTGCAAATTTAGTAATTCCTCATCAGCCGCAGCCTGTTGAAAAAAGTGGGCCAGATAATGTTTTTAACACACTACAATTAGCTTTTTTAAACGTTAGGTCTTTGGCAGGAAAAACATTTTTAATCAATGATTTTATAATCACTCACAATCTTAATTTCTTGTTTTTAACTGAAACTTGGTTGGACCAAGATAATAGTGCAGGTGTCCTTATCGAGTCTACTTTTTGATGACTTTGGTGAATTGCTGTCTATAATCTGTATTGACTTTGACTGTGTGGTTATTGTTGGTGATTTTAACATCCATGTTGACAACCCCCAGGACAGAGGGACTAAAGAACTGTGTTGTGCTCTTGATAATTATGGACTGACCCAACATGTGACAGAGCCCACACACAATAAGGGGCACACTTTGGATTTGGTCATCTCCAAGGGTCTTAACATTTCCAAGGTTGTGGTGACTGATGTTGCCCTCTCTGATCATTCTTGTGTTTTCTTTGAGAGTGCTATCTGCGTGCACAAAAATGTACAAACAGTGGTAATCACAAAACGGCATATCACTGAAAACACTAGTGAACAATGTATTGAGGCTTTCTCCCCGACACCCGCCTTCTCATGAGTTTGTAGATCATTTCAATTCTAAAATTACAAATGTTATTGATGCCATTGCACCAGCCAAGGTGAAGGCGGTCTCTGGTAAGAGATCATCTCCATGGAGAAATTCCACGCTGGTTAGAACTCAAAAAAGAGAGTGTCGTAAAGCAGAACGCAGGTGGCGGAAAACAAATCTCCAAGTTCATTATGACATCTATAAAGAGAGATTTCGTATTTATAATTTAGAACTGAGAAATGCAGTCCTAAAGGCGGTCCTTCTTCTCTGACATCATCACCAAAAACACTAATAATGCACGTGCCTTGTTTGCTACTGTCGACAGGCTAACCAACCCTCCTGTGTCTACCTTCTATTCACCAGGGCCTGCAATGAAGTTGCTTCCTTCTTCACAGACAAAATTCAAACAATTAGACAAGCAATCAGTGCCTCCATGTCAGTAACAGGATATATCTTGTCCCTGTGTCCACTTAAAAACAGTTCATATAGCATGAGACAATTTGATTCTATTAACCATCAAAACCTGGAGGACATAATACAAGATCTGAAATCCTCTTCATGCTGCCTTGATATTCTGCCAACAGGTTTTTTCAAAAATGTTTCTAAATGCATGGCCTCAGATCTACTACAAATTGTCAGCATGTCTCTCCTCTCAGGTTTTTTCCCACAGGCCCTGAAAACCGCAGTCATTAAGCCACTCTTAAAAAAGAGCAATCTAGTCAGTTCACTAATGAGCAATTATAGGCCCATATCAAATCTCCCATTTTTAAGTAAAATCATTGAAAAAGCTGTTTTTCAACAGCTTAGTGCTTTCTTGGCACTAAATAACTGCCACACCACATCACTGAGACGGCTCTTGTTAAGGTCTTCAATGACATCCATTTAAACACTGACAGTGGCAGAATTTCAGTCTTAGTATTATTGGATCTCAGTGCTGCATTCGACAGGGTTGACCACAACATATTACTAGACAGACTTGAAAATTACACATCTGAGCTAACAAAAATTACATGTGGAGTTCCCCAAGGCTCCATTCTGGGGCCTCTTTTGTTTAACATTTACATGCTCCCACTGGCTAAAACTGAAGTTATTGTTTTTGGAGCCAGGGAGGAATGATTGAAAGTCAGTGCTCAGCTTCAATCTGTAATGTTAAGAACCACAAATCAAGCCAGAAATCTTGGTGTAGTCATGGACTCAGACCTGAATTTGAGGAGCCACATTAAGACAATTACAAAGTCTACTATCAGCCTACTATCACCTGAAGAATATATCAAGGATTAAAGGACTTATGTCTCAGCAAGACCTGGAAAAACTTATCCATGCATTTATCATTAGTCGACCCGACTACTGTAACGGTGTCTTTACAGGGCTCCCTAAGAAATCCACCAGACAGCTGCAGCTGATTCAGAACGCTGCTACTCGAGTCCTCACTAAGACCAAAAAAGTGGATCATATCACTCCAGTTCTGAGGTCTTTACATTGGCTTCCTGTATGTCAAAGAATTGATTTCAAAATCCTGCTGTTAGTTTATAAAGCACTAAATGGTTTAGGGCCAAAATATATTTCTGATCTGCTTCGTTATGAATCTTCCAGACCTCTCAGGTTGTCTGGGACAGGTCTGCTTTCTGTCCCTAGAGTCAAAACTAAACAAGGAGAAGCAGTGTTAAGTTATTATGCTCCGTATATCTGGAATAAACTCCCAGATAACTGCAGGTCTGCTGAAACTGTCAGTTCTTTAAAATTAAGACTTAAGACTTTTCTTCTTACCATTGCTTTTAATTAAATATTTACACGGTGAAAAATGAGTAGGTAATTGAGTGAAAAGATACTGAGAGTGAGATTGAACAGAGTGAAGGAAGTGGTCTTAAATCTCGTGCTAAGTGATTTTCAGGACCCTCTGTCCACCTGTAAACACGCAGGTGGATCCAGAGTATAACTGGATCAAAGTTATTTTACATTTAACTCTTTTAACCCTGATTGTCACTGTAACTTTTACTGTCCTATTTTACCCTGTTTTAATGTGTATTTTTTTCAATTTCCCTATGTTGCTTTTAAACTTTTTTATATTTCCCTGTTGCTTTTATGTTTTATGTAAAGCACTTTGAATTACTTTGTTGTTGAAATGTGCTATACAAATAAACTTGCCTTGCCTTGCCTTATCACAGCTCCTGACCGTGGCACACACAGATTTTGTGATGTTGTGCTCATTAAATCACTTATCTGTATGTCTTTTGTTTCTCCCTTTTATTTTAGATGGATGATGTAATTGATGACATTATTAGTCTGGAGTCCAGTTACAGTGATGACATCCTCAACCTGATGGACCCAGGACTTCAGATGGCTAACACGGTATGTGTGCTTACGTCAAATCATCTTCAACATTGAGCTTGTACACAGACTAATCACTCTTATCTAGACTAATCACTAATCACCCTTTTAAAGGTCTCCACATTAGAGTGTTTCATTTGGTGTGTTTTGGGATAAAGTTACTATTACTACATTTCTTCAGTGATATTTTATTGTACTATTGAAAAAAACAATTTCTCTATATATTGAGTAATTGGGTAACAAAATATCTGCTTTGCCTTAGCTGTAAGCTACATGGCTACAAATTAGTTCTGCTGTGCTACCAGGTGGAGCAACAATGTCCAGCTGTTTGCCCAAATTGAAAGAAATTGTTCTCTCGTCACTGTAAGGTTGGCAGCCAACCAGAAGAGGCTTCAACCAGCCAAGATATAGTCCCAAACATAACCCAGCTTAAAACCACTAATTGTAATTTTTACACTTTTTGTGTGCATGTGTGAATTAAACAAATGAGATACAGCATGTTAATTAGTGAAATTGAGAGGTGCGTTTAGGCAGATTTTCTTTGACCTTTGGACTGAGCTGAGCTAGCTGTTTCCCCCTGTTTCCAGTCTTCATTCTGAGCTAAGCGGCTGCAGCATTATATTTAACCTAAAAACATAAGAGTTGTATCAACCTTCTCATTTACCTCTTAGCATGAAAGCCAATAAGCTAATTTCCCAAAATGTGAGGCCTATTCCTTTAACAGTGACATCACGCTTATTTGCATTATAACATCTGTTAAACTTTTCTCTCTGTGTAATGGGCCTGTATGTCACCACCCTTCCCATCATGCTCATCTTGTGATGATGATTAGCATCTATACAGGGAGGGGGGTGATCCTTGCTTAATGTCTTTGCTGTGTTTCCTCAGATTCCTGTGCCTGCTAATCTCATGGACATGTATAGTAATCAGGGTATGTCCCAGCAAGGTCTGACGATCAGCAACTCCTGCCCTGCCAACCTGCCCAACATCAAAAGGGAATACTCCGGTAAGCAGCACAGTCTGTAACAGCAAGAGACATGCAAACAATTAAATGCCTCGTTTCTGTCATTAAAAATTATCAATCAAATGTTTACAGATCTGTGAGAGAAAAAAAACAGTAAATCCATTCAGTTTCTCCGTTGCTTTGAAAATATCAAGGCCCTAACAATACATATGAACCTCTACTCTCCAGGCCTTTGTGTAGCCCATAATAAGGCATTTTATTAATTGTCCAATTCTTGTAATTCTCCTCTGTGTGGGGATGTTTACTGTGCGTAACTCACATTCTGAACATTTTGATATTGAAAACATTTTCTGTCACATAGTTTCACAATCCCCAGCCATCATGCACATGCTGGACAAGTCTGGATCCTGTGGCAAATTTGACAACTATCAAAGGCCTGAAGGGTTCCCTGTGGGTACGTATAGTTAAAAATGAGCAACCAAAATGTAAAAGTCAGCTGATGCACATTTTTGAGAATTGCATTTCACTGTTTTATTCTATTTTATTGATCAATATAACGTTTGTTTCAGAAGCTGAGGTAAGAGCTATGGCAAAGGAAAGACAGAAGAAGGATAACCATAATTTGAGTGAGTTTTAAATTTTAGTCACTATATATATATGTATATACATATATATTTGCCATAGTGTCATCTTCTTTGTTACGCTATAAAAATAGCTAATCATGTTTAGTTTTGTTTTTTGTTCTGTAGTTGAGAGAAGGCGGCGGTTCAACATCAATGATCGAATCAAGGAATTGGGAACTTTAATTCCAAAATCAAATGACCCGTAAGTATTGTATTTTATTCATACTCCATTTCTTTTTACTTTTTCTTGACAAGACTCACCAATTTGTCTGCAAGAAATAGTTCATGATTATAAAGGAAAATAGGTAGGTGTAGGACAGACTATCCCAGCAGCTTCAACTAAAGGAATGATTGTGGGAACGTTTATTTTTTTGTTCAGTTAAGAGTGCTGAAGGATTGAAGTCAGTCAAGGCTGCGAAGATCTCTGTTCCTAATGTGATTTTAATGTAATACACGGGTCTGTGCAAAAACATTTTTTAAAGTTCAGCTGAAGCTAATATGAGGCCTCAGTCAGTATCTTCCAAAGTTACAGTCTTTTTAGTACAAAATCCCCTCTTTGTGTTACTACCAGTCTACTGCAGCTAATCAAGGAAACACACTAAGGGACTTTTTTTAGCCAAAAGACTGTAACATCTGAAGTGACCCACTTGATTTATGTCACTCACAGTTGAATACTCATATAAAGTTCACTCATACCTAGTTCATTCCTAGCATGGCCATCGGCCGACGCTGAAATTCGTGTAGTCTGCACAAGCCTTAAGCTTCAGCTGAATTTTAGAATGCATTTCTGTGGATTGTATCCCCCATCTCTTACATCAGTATTGTTTTTTGACAGACTTTAAAATAGGGGTACCTATCCCTTAATCATTGCGTCTATTTAGTTACACGGGTCTGTTGGTTTTACATAATTTAAGCAGCTAAATCAATCACAAAATGGTTAAAGGGATAAACACATACAATATAAATGCAATAAATGTAAATTACACACAAAATGAGAGCACTGCGTTGAGCTCACACTTCTCTTTCTCTGTTCTTTGACCTTGCCTGTGGTTCTTGGAATATCCTTTCCACCGCTTTTATTGTGTCTGTCCTCCCATGGTTGTTTTGCTAAACCCCAGCTGGGTGCTCCACCCACACACACACACCTACATACACAAGTATGTAGCAACCAGGGACTGCCTTTTACAAACAGACCTGGCTAAACATACATCTTATAATAAGAAAACATATAGTACATGCCATTGTTAGCATAAGAAATTATTAGAAAACACTAATATTAATTCATTACTTTAAATTTGAAATCATCACTTCAGTCACAAAAACATCTGTCTTCCCTTAAGGCATCTGACCAATTAGAACCTAAACCCTTATCACCTTTTCAGCTTAATTGTGGAAAAGTTAGATCTATTTGTCTAGTAAAGATTTATCATATCCATTGCAACCTGCAAATCTTCAGGGAGCTCAGGATCATGCTTATGACTACTTGTGATCACAGTTACCTCCCCTGCATACATTTCTGATGTAGAGAACTCAGAGTTGGAACTGCTGGTCACCTCAGTGACCTCCAGAGCAGCTCATTTCCTTGTTCTGTATTCTCTTCTGCCTCTCTTCTTGTTTTTCTCACTGAATAGAGCTAATAGGCAGTGAGTGGTCTGTTAAAGCAGCCCTAGTCTAATGTAAATCTACAATAAGTTTTTTTCTGATTGTCTTACATCAAAGCGATAGGATCTAAGAGACTGTAAGGATGTACAAATAATGCCTCTGTGAATTTCAGGGACATGCGCTGGAACAAAGGCACCATCCTAAAGGCATCAGTCGACTACATCAGGAAGCTACAGCGGGAACAGCTGAGAGCCAAGGAGATGGAGAGTCGCCAGAAGAAGCTTGAGCATGCCAATCGCCATCTGATGTTGAGGATACAGGTAAACAAACTGTAATGGCATCTACTGATTGGAGGAGTTGTAGAATTGCATCATGACCATACTGTTTGCATGGTTACATTAGTATCATAAACTAGTAATAAAGAAAATGTGAAAAAGTTTGTGTCATGTGTACTGAGTGTAAAGAAAAGGGCCTCACCTGAAATAAAGAATGCCTCCACTTACGTCAGAAGAAATACTTTCATGAAATATATCAATCTTCAGGGAAAACGAGCGGACCACTAATTCACACAGGAAAGACCATCGTCTAGTAACTAATCACAAGACAAGAGGCATTCAGATCTGTGTGATTCAGCTCAGCTGACAATGATTTATTGATCACATTGTGCGTTTGCTTCACGGTAATTATTTACACCAGCGCTATCAGGGGGAATAAGAAAACCCTTTTACAAGTGGGAAAAGTTAAGGCAAACGGCTGTCAGTCACATTCAGGTGGGAATTTAATTTATACCTTTATTGTGATCGGAGTGATCGGAGACTCTTCACTGACTACCCTGTGTGTGTTTCTCTCTGTGGTTTGCAGGAGTTAGAGATGCAGGCGCGGGCTCACGGTCTGGCCATCACATCTTCAGCACTCTGCTCTGCTGAACTTGGAGCCCGGGCCATTAAGCAGGAGACCGCTCTGGAGGACTGTCACCAGGACCTGTACACACTCCACCCCCATCACCAACACCACCCTGGCTGCACTCCTGAACCACCCGGCACCCTGGAGCTAAACGAAGGCCTTTCTAACTTCCCCGAGGGCCACTACAACGTTCACAGCAAGCCGGGCTCCAAACTCAATGACATCCTCATGGAAGACACCTTATCACCGGTGAGAGGGGGGGACCCTTTGCTCTCGTCCGTCTCCCCAGATGCCTCAAAGGACAGCAGTCGTAAGAGCAGTGTAAGCATGGATGAGAATGAGCAGTGCTGTTAGCACCCCCTACTAGAAGACACCTCTACTGCATCTCCAACCCCTCCATCCTGCTGCAAGTGTTCCTCTCAGTAGCTAATACTCCAAAGCTGCTGGAGAGGCTTTGTCTTGTTCGTGTCATTTGTTTTTTGTTGTGTTTTTTGTTCTCCCCCACCCGTGTTTACATGTATTGAATATTTTCCATTCATGTTTTTTTTTTGTTAGTTATTTTTGTGATATTTTTTGTCTTTTCAAGCCCCCAACCTTGATTTGAAGGACTGATTATAAAGTATGTTTGCTTTAATCAATATTTTGATGACAATGAGTTACAAAAATAGTTTTTATATTTAAAAAAAAAAACATGCATTTATCTTTGGATAGAGGCTAGATTATGCTATATTTCTATTGATTCCAAAGAATCTAGGGAAGTTATAAATCATGCTCAGAAATGTAGATATTTTTTGGTGAGTTGAACACTGCTTTTTAAATCACTAGCAATAATCTATTTATTACTATAGTGCTTTACACTCTTTGTGTCTAAGAGTGCTTTCACACCTGTAGTTCGGTTCATTTGGTCCAGACCAAGTGAAAAAATGATACACTGTTGCATTTTAGTTCTGGTCCAGTTCATGTTCACTCTGCAGGTTTACAAATGAACCAGAGAAGTAACCATGACGTTACACAGACGTACAGGTAACTTGTTGATTGGACAGCTTTGGCGATTGTCATCCTGCATCATCAGGACCCACGTGGGGAAATCAAACTCCGGTGACTAACAGAAGTTTGTGCAGCACTCTGATCTGTATCGCAAAGAGCTCACGAAGTGCTAATTTAATATAAGCGTGATTAGTAATGCTAGACAGCAGATCGACCGCATAGCCTATTATGAATAATAACGTAAAAACAGCGCACTTCCAGTAATAATTCGGGGCTTATTCGCCTATAGTATACTGTGGTATCATTGTCACACATGTTTTATGGACTTAATGAACTGACAGGGTAAATGGAGTACTACTTGCCGTCTTTTTTAAACAGATTTTAACCTGTTAATCAGGGAAATACCTGCGCTGACAAGTACGCTATACCTTATAAAATTATTTTCATAAACATAGTGGCTTATACAGATCAATTATAAGATCGCTGAACACATGTCGCTGTCAGCAGATGGATTTATTAGTGGTTTAGCTTTGGAAATAATGCTCAGATCACATCTCTGCTATCATAAAATCCTGTGTTTGGTTAGTTTGCTTTCACACCACAAGCGAACTGCACCAGAGTTTGTTTGAAAGCGTACTGAGACCTCCTTGAAGAGATGATCTCGGAACGCTTGTTTGGCCCGCTTTCGGTGCGCATCTGAGTGCGATTACTGCATTCACACCTGCCCAATCGAACCGCACCAAGGGGGAAAACGAACTCTAGTGCGATTCAACCGAACTAAACGAGGCAGGTGTGAAAGCACCCTTAGATTGAACTTGAATGTGTCAATGCCTTATTAAGATGTGTATACATCGATGTTGTATTGCTATGCACATGTTTTGGCTGTTAGTTGAGTCTCTGTCGGTCTTCCAGTAGAATTTTCTTCCTTGACAAATATTAATCATTAGTAGTTTTGATCTTATTTATGCATCTATGTAAACATGACTTTATGTACACATTCCCCTCAACAAATTAATTTATTACAAGGCATTTAAGAACCTTTTTAAATAACTGAGATAATTATAAACAAAAGAACATTAAAAAAGAATCTGAAATGTCCTCCATCAAGTTAATTAAAAAAAATCAACACTGATAATGAATCATTTTTAGACTTTTATTCAGTGTCACAACCCGTAGAAAGAAAGGTTTCCCAACCATGGATTCATCCTTTGACTATCCAGTGGTGACTACTTAGCTATGTGTAACAGATATATATTACGCACATACATTCCTCACTGCCAAAACCACTGAAGTACTCAAATTCAAGAATTAAATAAAATATTTTTTTAATAACACAGTCTCAACGTTAGTAGACTCTTAGCCAAAAATGTAATTTAAAAAACACCTGTTGTAGTCCTGACACATGCACAAAAAGCTGATTTCACTTGATAGATCTGATTTGTACTTAATTCTATTCATCTTTTATAGGTGATTAATGCAAGAAAGATGAATCAATTCATTGTTTATAGTATTCTTGTCTGTAGTGATCAGAGTTCACGCAGTGTAATACTTCAGACGTGTTGATGCAAGTGCTCAGTTTTTATACTTGTTCATCGAGTTCCTAAATTATTGTTTTTTACACCAGTGTGGAGACATTTCACATTCAATATGTTTTTTTTTCCATTGTGTGAACATTTATATTGCCAAGGAGTATAAGGAGACTGCTTTAGGATTTTGTATGAAATGCATGACATTGTCAAAACACTGGAATGACCTCTGTAAATTGAAACATGGTTTGTTCGCTTTTTTATCAAAGCATAAATTAACTACTGTCTTTGGCTTTCCAAATGCATACACACTATTGTATGAGATTATAGATTCTTTATGGTGTACAATTGTTGTATATTTCAGCAGTTAGTTTTCAGAAGTTGTAGCACATTGAATAAGTATACCTTTGTTAAAGGTGGGGAATGTGATTCTGGAGAAATCCAATACCACCACCACCACCAACACCAACACCAACACCAACACCAACACCAACACCAACAACAACACAGCAAGTGATGTATCTAACTTTAGCTAAGTTGTGGGTTAGCAAACTATTGTTACAGTTGCTGCTGTGGAGCTAACACGCATAGAGGTATAGATGGTCCCAGAGCCAGCAAACTAGCTCCAGACAGTGATACTCCCAACTTTCCTGCTACTATCGCTAACATCACAACAACAGCATGTCTTGGCAAAGTAGAAAGTAAGCTGAATGTCAGTGGGCAAGTCATTTAACGTTACCTGACACACACATCATGGCTGGGATAGTGTTGTATGGCTCATCCCGAGCCACTTTGCAAAAAGACACGTATTGGATTAGAATCACATACACCACCTTTAGTAACTACCTGCCATACATTGAGAGCCCTGTTACAGCACAGTCTCCATTTTGTTAAACTATGCAGTGGTCGAATTTGTGCCTGCAGAGCAGCATCATGTCTTGACAATGTGATCTCCTTATGAATTAGTCTAAAACAGTATCAATTTTAATTGATTTAAGTGCCTTACTGTCGTTTGTGTTAACCTGGTGATGTAAGAGGAGTTGTAGACAGTGATGCAATATTTTGTTAATGTTTATACTGGTGTTTGGTGCTTAATGGATTAACTGAAGATTGCCAAGGTACATTAGAAAGCAGTAGGAATGGGCCTTTTTTCAGTAGATGATAGCACTATAAGAATCGCAGACTCAAGAACCACAAGAAAGGTTTTTTTATTGTGGTAACCCAAGGTGTTTTATTAAATAAATAAATAAGATATGAAATAATCATAAAAGTAAATAGAGTGAAATACATTCTGAAATAATTTTATTTAAAATGTTTTCACCACCAACTCGTTAATTCAGAGTTATCTTGTCAATGTTGTGTTTCTAAGGCTGTTCCTTAGAGAAAGACACGTAACTCTCTCAAGACAAAGAGCATAACTGTTTAGTTTTTGTAGCCAACAGGAGCTAGCTAGCTGGCAGTTGTTGAGCCTGCAGAGATGGTTGAAGCATGTGATTGGCTTGAATTTTGAACATTTTGAAATAAAATTGACATTGGGAAAAGTGCAGTGCTATGAAAATAAGAATGATCAAACAACATTTCATAGTAATGTGTTGAGTTTTAATCATTTATAAAATTATTTCACCAGCAAATTTGGCTTTAGGGTTAGCCCCTGACTTTTTATCTAGCACCACCAGCAGTTTAGTGAAATGTCTTAACTTGATAACTATTGGATGGATTGACATGACGTTTGGTTAAGACACTTAACTTGAATCAGGTCATAATTTCGACTTTGATTTATGACTAGATACCTGCAAAACCAGTATCATTCACATCAGCCTCAACTGTACTTTCTGTTTAGTGTTAATCAGCAAATGTTAGCATGCGAACACACACACATTGGTCTGCTTAGCATGAACTTGTTAACATTGGAACAATGTTAGCATGTTTCACTTGTTTATTCAAATTATTATTTATTTCATGTCTTATATTTATTTAATATTGAACACTTTGGGATGGCAGTGGTTTATCTTTATTAAGATAAAATTCTACACTGAAGGCAGTGTTTTCAAAGTTGTGCTATTCATGTTACTATGTTTATCGTTCAGCATCCTTTTGAGACTACAAGAATGTAGCTCAAAGTGATGCCAAAATGTGTTGCCAAAATTAAATATACAATATATAAAGATAGCAATTTTCAACAGCTTAGCTGATGCATCTCTGTTAGCGGTGTTTTTTCTGTATAGTTACAAGCAATATCTAAAACATTTTGGCAGTTGGGACATAACTACAAACAGGTGAAATACATTGTGAAAGTTCATTTCTGTCCTAGGAAAGAGGAATTTGAAAATTAACTCAAGATCTACTTACTGTAATAATACCTTTTCCAGAGCTTTCAGCTGCATCTCACAGTCTTCATTATCAGATGGAAATAGCACAGCTGTCATAATGTGACAGTGAAGTAGTATAGAACTTCTGTCATTAGACCATAAGATGTGGTTGAAAGTGTGGAACAAGCTAGTAAGTACCTTCGGTTGAGATTTTTTGTCATAGGGGATTTACACCTTCAGTGGACTGCAGAATGTCCCTTATGGTGACACCAGTCCCACATACTGAGCCTTTAAAGTGCAATACACACAGGCCTGTAACGTTGCCCTTTGACTGAACCCAGATCAGCTTCTTTTTTTTTTTTTTTTTTTTTTTTTTTTTTAAATAGAATAGATAAATCATCTAAAACCTGAAATGTGAGTGGGTGGTGGTGGCACTTAATTTAAAGCCATTACTATGACTGATTTCTCATAATGACTCTTCTAGCTGTTAATCATTATGGCACATTATGGGTAAACCACTAAAGAAGAACCATCTCATCTGCTCATTCTCCCTCCTGTGGTTCATTCAGACAACGTTCTCTGCTGATGTTGATACTGTTCTTATTGTTACAGTTATATGAGATGAATGTAGCAATAGTTACTGTACACACTGGTTTCAGATTTGTGAACCCAAACTCATCAGTACTCAATGTGGAAACTATCATGTGAGAAATATTAAAAGTTTTATTTGAATGTTTGTAGAGCTTGTGTTTTTCTTCTCAAAATCTAAATCCTAATAACTTCTTCTGTAAAGATCCAGTTATTTATAAATAAGGTACTTTAAGTCCCCCTATTTAGCATTTATAAGCAGTAAATAAATTTTTAATAAATAATAATAAACATATTTCATTTAACAGAGAAATTGTGTTTTACCTGGATTTACCAAACTTACAAGGGAAAAAGATTGTTGACAGACAGGTTTTATGGTCTATTATCTATACCTGCATGTCCCAGTCCTATGACAAGAGGCATCCTAGAGAACTAGCGCACTGTGGCACCAGGGCCAGGGTGTAGTCCTGGTGCAACACATGCTGCTCCAGACCCCATGCACTCATTGAATGATGGGGTCCTTCCTGTCTGCTGGCAGCAGCCCCCTCTGGTGGGCAACATACATCATAAGGGTTGACTGCCTGGCAAGCTCTGTGCAGTCAGAAAACATGGAAATTAATAAAGGTTGTATGTTTCCATGGGGTAATAATCTTCAATAAAATGCAACTGTTAATGTAATTAATATATTATCATAAATATACTCTATTTTACAGTTTGCAAACTTTATAGTAATGTTTCAATGCTGTCAATTCCTTCCCCAGTAGTTTAAAAAGGCCACGGCACTTCATCAGGGTCATCTAAGGTATATTGGGAGAATTACAGTGGTTAGTTTGTACTGCATTGTGAGAAAGAGAATTTTAAAGGTCCCCTCCAGACATGTTTTAATACATGTAAAAAAAAAAATAATAAATACAATGACTTGATTAATAGTTTGTGTCTTTTTTGTGGCAAAAATGTTCAATTACCTTAAAAATTCTTAAAATTACTTCTGCTCCTTCACCCTCATTGAAAAATCATTTGTAAACACAAGATGGCTCTGACTTCACTGAAAGTAAATTCTCAGTCATTGTGCAATGGAAGTTTCAACATCTCATTTGTGTAATTTGTATATTAAACCACAATTGGCTTGCAAAGTAGTTGTGATGTCAAACGATCATGCTAGTACAAACACTTCTTAATCTCAGATTTATGGTGAGCACAGAGATACTTTGGATTTGGTGGTGATGTGAGAGACCCAGGTTCGAATCCACTGTGAGACACCATTGTGTCCCTGAGCAAGACACTTAACCCCTAGTTGCTCCAGAGGCATGTGACCTCTGACATATATAGCAATTGTAAGTTGCTTTGGATAAATGTATGCATGTAATGTATGTATATCTTCCCCTTCAGCAGAGTTAAACTCTGCACATACTTCATACTGCAGAGTAAAGGGCAAACATCCAAGAGTAGTAACAATAAGCAAAACACATTTTTGACTTGAGAGACTTTCATTTTTTTTACCATAACATGCCTTAACAACCTGAACAAATAGACAGAGGCTAGAAAAAAAACAACAAAAGGTTTGGGGTTTTGTGGGGAGCTGAGTTTCAACTCTGGTTTGCGCCAGCATGCAGGTTGAAAGGATGTGGCTGTGAAGGAATAATGCTTCAACGTGTAGCAGTCTAAATTTAGGTCGTTGTGAGACATCGGGTCTATCTTTAAAAAGTTGTAGCCGGAGAAGAGCTAGCTCAATTGATCTTTAGCAAATAAGTGTTTTTGTCACAACATGCAAATGCTGATGCTCACTGCTACTAAACAACAAGCCAGTGCTAGTTTACATAGTAATTGAACAAACAAGCTGAAATTGAAAATAAGTTCTTAGAAATATGCTAATGCATTTAGCTGCATTTAGCCTTTGCTGCCAAGAACTGACGGCATTTCAGTACAATATGAAAAGCACCTTCAGGAGACTTGAAACTTGTATGAACTTGTATAATAGCTTGTGTACACATTATTATCTTGTCACAAGTTATTATCTCGTGTGCACAAGATACTAATTAATCAATATTCAATAGAAGACAGGACCAAATTCACATTAGACCTCTTCTTATTTCTGTTTATTGTTTGTGTTTTTGCTTGTCAATAACAGAGCTTAGACTTTTTAACAGTCAGTTATCAGATGTCTGAGCTAAAATTCACTAACAAAAGTCTGTCTACTTGGGGAAGTACCATCTACAATACAGTAACATAATTCTAGTCTGAGTTCTTCCACCCCTGCTGTGCATGTTTCACACGTGAGTGACCGCAGCCCAAAATAGAAAGGTATTTCACATCCACCAGTCAGTGGAGAATACTAATGGATGAATAACCAAGGAGTGTGTATAGCGAACATACAATGTCACCAATGAACCAGAACAAATTATAGATAAACACATTTTTTTTTAAATAGATAAAATTAAGGAGGCGTGACATTATGCTGCTATATAAGTTATTTAATTTGTGTAACAGCCGAATTCAATGCATGATAACAATCTATTTTCAACCTACATTTTAGCATCTCATAACTTTCTCTTACTGGGACTGCTCAGTTTCATGTTCCTTTCACTTGGACCAGATTGTGAATGGCTCGAGTTGTTATCAATGAATTCTGATAGATAATTATTTGAAAACACGCTCCAGGATTCCCGGTCACCTAAAACGTCTTCAGCCTACTCTGGCATGCTTTATGGAGTGACACCAGAATTGCAAAGGACTTCTGTCCCCTCTTCCACCCTTATGGGACAGCATGTTGACGTTGATTACTTTGCTTGGTGGGACGAGTGTGTTTTATAAAACTAATCGAGGAGGCTGACATATATACTCTGATAGCTGTTTTCTTCTTTTATTATAACAACCAACTCTACACTGTTTCAAAGCTCATGTTGAGGCACACAAGCTACAGATTATGTGGATTTCCACAAGAGGCCAATATAAAAAACCCTTAGTACTGCAAGCAGTTTATTACATACTATAGGCTATGGGAATAATATGAGACAGTCTAACTGTTTGTTGAGCATTCAAGTTTTTACAATTTACAGTGTTTGTGTGTGTGCAGGTCAGAGGTGAAAGGCCGCAAATAAATTTCTCAGCGATAGCACACCTCTGATATCTCCATGGCCAGCTCTATGAGTTCTCCTGTGTCCTGACAGGAGCCACAGCAGTCACAGTCCAGTTCCAGCGTGTAATTGCAGCAGTCCATCCCCTGCTGGTCTCTCTCACTGGACGCCTTGATGTATTTGAACGAGGGAAAACAGTGGTTCACAGCCCTCTCACACATATCCGATAGCAGGACCATTAACTCATGGTAATGACAATGCAGACAGGCGAGAAGAAGTGACGCACAGTCGTCTGGTGGTAGTGACAAGGTAGAAGAAAAGATCAAAAGAGGAAAATGTAATGAAAATGCTAATCCAACAAAGAAATTACTAATGAAGTGTCATCCAGTGTACCTCTGACCAGAAATGTATAATCTTGTTTATGATTAACTCTACAGTTTCAGGGCTATTCAATTTAATTACATCAACTGTACCTCCAGTGCCAGGCTGGCATGAATCATCAGAGGAAAAACGGCTGCTGCTGTTCTTAAACTTGTCAGAACACATGGAGATGCTGGATCCACCCAGTTCACTGCCACCCAGGGGATAATAGGAAATGGAATCAGTGTCCAGCTTGTCTGGCTCTTGCTCTGAGATGGTGCTCAGCCTGCATAACCCACCGACCAACTTGCCTGTCATCTTTCCGGATGGACTGTCCATCTCTGGATACAGGGAATGAAGGGATGATTTTGGATGCATTACATTACTGATGTCATAAAAAATCAGTGCTGGATCAGCACTCAGTCCAAGCTCTTCAAGAATAGTTATTCAGATCCTCTATGAGGCACTTTTAATTATTCAGAGCACCATTAACATGCAGTATTTCAGGGAGGTGAGACTTGAAGTGAATAATGGAGGAGGCTTGCTCAATAAAACTTCAGCAAGATTATTGATTTGCAAGCTTTTATTTAGATCCAGTTTCTTGGATTGATTAGGGCCAGAGGAAAATAAATACTGTGTGAAAATATACTCTCCCACTAACATTTGGCATGCACCAGAACAATCACTCACTCTACAACTTCCTATTGTAGTTCTGACTAACAATAACTTCATCCAAGCGGTATATAGCCTAATCAGAAGTGGAGTAAACAACAACAACCTACCATCAGACACATGGTCCCCTATTTTCTCAAGCTCAACACCATCCTGATCATTCACAGGAAGCTTTAAAGGAGTTGTCATCTAATGCAGAGCAAGGTGGAGAGAATACACAGAGTGAGACACACATGTAAAGCACTGATTGAATAATGGTATTATAATAACCTAATTTAACTAAAGACTAAATTATCTCAGAGAACAATAAATAATTACAGCATCCTGTTTTCATGATAAATTAAAAGAATCATGCAAGAATTGTTTCCCCAAAGTACCTGTAAACTGAGGCTAAAAATGAACAAAGGACATACCATTTTAATGAATTATGTCAGATAATTTACTTTTAAGATTACCTGTGTGTGCTTGTTAAATGTCCAACAGTATAATCCGTAGCATCTGCAACAGCGAACCCCTCTGAGCTTGGGCACGAGCACCTCCCATCATCATGCACACACCCACACTGTGAATCACACTCCACACCGATCAATACTCGCCACTCAGGAAGCCCAACTGCAAATCTGTGATGGCATAATGCATGGAAAATCCATTCAATTGTGGTATCACATCCATAGAGAGTCAAGCCAAGCCACTTATCAAACACCTGGATATCTTCCCTCAACCAGTGCTTATAACGTCACATCTGCTGACAGTACACACATGAATTTATAAAATTTATAAAAATGTACATACCACAATACCACAGTGGAATGTTTGTAACCCAGATCATTTGCTATCTTCCATTACCATCCATTAGGAAGACAGACAGAGTGAAGTGGGGCTATCATGTCCAAACTGCTTCCAGCCATAATTTCATCATGTAAACCAATAAACACCACCAAAGCAATCATAAAACTAAATCAAAAGACACATACAGCATACACATTTATCATGAGGAATTTATTATTCATAGAGATGCGTTGGTTTACAATGATGGTAAATCTATATTATCTATTCTTACAAGCTCAGTCAGAGCAAATTCAGCAATGTTGGTGGAAGGGGTGAAAAAGACCAACAAGTATAAAGAAGTTACTTTTGATCAACTGATTACACCTTAAATACAAATATACCAGATCATGTTGGCAGTGGACATTTTCATTTTTTACAGCAACTTGTTTTTTTACTTCCTCTACAAACCTTTATATATTATGGACTGATAAAATAAAACAAGGTAGTGTGGTCCCCATTATAGCATAAATTAGCTATACAGAGGGGGAGTTTTTCATTGTGAAGTGCTAACTATCCATATTCCCTTTCCTTTGGCTTTTATGCTTACCATGGTCCTTTTGTGTACAGATATACAAAATAAGAAAAATCATTAACAGACAATTTCACAAATGTTTTTTTTGTGATCTCACTCTACTGTACAAAAACAACTGAGAACTAGATTAAGAACAAAAAATAAGAAATGCTGATACGAAGACAAAAAATTCCCCATAGAAGAGGGAGTTTGGTTACGTAGATGAAGCAGTTGTTTTTTGGAAACTTTTGGAATACAAAGTCACACACAGGTGAGTGAGGCGGCCTTGCAGTGCAGAGCTCGGACCTCATAGTCAGAGAGAAGGCACACGATCGAAAGGAAGGTTGGGCCTCCCTGGGCTGCCATTGTCGTCTTCTTGGTTCATGTCTGGACTGTGGCCGTGCTCGTCTGTGCTCTCCGGAGACTCATAGGGATAATTTTCACATATCTCCTCATCCTCCTGCTCCTCTTTAATGCTGCTTTGATAAATATGCAGAACAAAAATATGAGAATCAGGACTTGTGATTACATTATTACATTAAATCACAGTCGAGTAAAATATAATAGAGAGGTCAGGAAACGTAGCTCTGGAGCTGACACTTACAAAGCTTGTGGAGGGGACTGCGTTGCACTGCTGTCACTTTGGTATCCAGAGCCATTGGCAAGGGCTCCGTTCATCTGCTCTTGGAGAACATGAGACAGGGAGTGCAACGGGATGCTGCCCATAGAGGCTGGGTTATAGAGAGAGTTGTTGCTGTCTAGACCACCACTCTGAAAAATAAACATTTTCATCTTTTATATTTATAATGCTGCATTAAGACAACAGATATAGCTGTGTTTATAACAGCCGTGAATGACAATTACAAAAAGAAACAGAGATGGAAGACGGATCCTTCAATCATGTTATGAGTGTTGTCATTGCATAGTTTGCCCACTAGTGGGCACTCTGCAACTCCCTTTTTTGGCAACACAATGTTCACTACAAAACAGCAATCAGCTGACATAAACAGCTGTACATTTGTTCAAAGTACTATTTATAACAAAATAAAGTTTACTTTGGGGCTGTCGTTAGCTCACCACTAGATTTAAGCCCGGGTTAGGGTTAGAGTCAGAGTCAAAGTTCGACCTGTACCTCTTTGCAGCATTTCAGCCCCTCTCTCTCCCCCACATTTCCTGTCTCTCAACTGTCTTTTACCAGAGTATTTTTAAACTGCGTTATGTCATGTTATGTTGGTGAGGTCTCATAACTACACATAACAAATGTTAGGGATAATCTTTGTTCATGAGAAGAAAAAGAAAATAAGGAATATCGGCCGATATGTCGGAAAAAATCGGTAGTGGTCTTAAAAATCCCATATTGGTCGGGATCTAGTTCATACTACTGCAATATATAGTTTAGGGGCATAATGAATCGTGACACCTTGTCACCTTTCAGATTTCTACACAGCAACAGCCTCATGTTATATACACAATCTTCATTTATAATACACTATTCAACAATAGAGCTTGAAATACCAGATTCATTCTTACCTGAAGAGCAGATCCAGCCAAGCTCTGACGGTTCAGTGAGTTCTTCAGCACAGATCTATTAATACAGAGATGCAACACAAAGTTATATTTATGAGAGCATCAACACCTTAAGGACCTGAGATAAGCATCAAACTTTAGGGATGGCATTATACTAAGAACATAATTTGGTGCACTTGCAAATCACCTCCCCTGGACAGCAATTGTCCAGTGATAACTTAGCAACCAATAACTAGGCACGGTGGGCCTGTCAACCTTTGGATTTCTTCACATTGAAGCGGTGTGCATCAGGCACTTGTAACTATTCAGTATAGAGCGATAGTAAAAGGTTTGTCTTTGTTAAAGCCTCTTCAAAAACAGAAACACTGGAGCAACCCCAGACAAACTTATTATCGGGGATAGCGCTACATTTCCCAAATACATCCCAAAAGCCTTTTCTCTTGTAACGTTCAGACATCACATCCTTCAACAAACTAAAAATACAAAGCAGAGGGCAGCAAGAGGTTCAGCAGCATCAAAAGCAGAACAACCAGATTCCAAAACAGCTTCATCCCTCCCGTCATAAGACTGCTAAACTCTCAATAATCCCCCATCCCATACATACGACACTAGTCACTTTACATGGACACTGAACTCTATTGGACTCAGTAACTGTTACTATGCGCATCATATTGTCCATTTGACTGTTATAATACATCCTGCTGCTACATATAATTTTTCTGTTTGCTGCTACATTTCTGAAAAAAAGTCACTTTTTTTTAATGTTTTCTGTTTCTTTTATATAGCATATATTTATATTTTTCTTTTACTTATCTTCTGTTTTTTATTCGGAGCCTTGCAACATAATCTCGCTCAAATGTACAGTGTGAACGTGCAGTTGGATGACAATAAAGTCTATCCAACTCAGTTACTCAGAGGGATCAAGGTCTTGTGAAATTTCTAGGTTCGTATGAGAGTATCATTTTGTTCACAAATGTGTGCATTTGATTGTGTGAACATGCCAATTGTGATTTTGCTTGTAACACACTTAGCCTTAGAAACTCCTTAGAAAACAGCTTACAGTAAATATTGGGTGTACTGATAAGGTGGAGCTAGAAGGTCAAAAATGTCAGGCTTCTTCGGACTTCTAGTTATATCTGAAAACACACAGGGTTGTGGCCTCACGTCCAAACTATACCTACCCATTGCCAGCAGTCTTCTGGGGCCTTCTTCTGTGGAACTCAATCTCATCTACTGTCCACACGGCTCCCTTCACATTTTCCAAACGTACAAAGCATTTATGGAGGCTGAGATTATGTCTGACCGCATTCTGGAATATTAAAGAAAAGAATAAAATTGGGACTTGCACACTCCTCAAGTACTTAATCTGCATTTATCTGGATAAATAAAAACGAAAAGTAAATGCAACCAAATTTCTTTTCTTTTCCTGTTTCAATAATTAATATTCAAAGACGTTTATGTATTTCATACCTTCCAAGTAGCTGCATTGCGCCTGAAATATGCAAAGTTTCTTGTGAACCAGTTGTAGATTTCATTTAATGTCAGCTGATTGCGTGGTGATTCAAATATTGCCTGAAAGAGACCAAGAGCATGTTAGAGAAACTGGACGGTCGATATTGTCATGCAAAAATGTGAAATCCTATGTGTAATGAGTGAAGTACACGTTACCTGTCTTATGAGAGAAGCATACGTAAATGGAGGTCTAACTTCTGTGCCTAAGTAGAACTCCTTATTATCAACTATATCTGTGGAAAGACATTAACAGGCAATATTTATACATATATATACATATTATATTATGAATAAAATAATACACATTTCCAATTAAGGAAACAGAATTAGTACACAATAAATCATCAAATGTCAATAAAAATAATTATAAATGAGAAAACAAACCCTATCTCGGTGCCCCCATGACATTATGTATATGTGTATCTTAGCAGGAAAATGTTTCAGCTCAAAACCTATAAATTAAGTTCAATTTCATGATCTCACAGTTACCTTGGCTGACAGAGCGGCTACATCGCCTCCGTACAGGGGTTCCAGTGAACATGCTATTGGGAGTGAGGACTGAAGGGGATTCAGAGAGCGGCGTCAGGGGTGTGGATGGCGTCGTTGCACTCTGAGACAAGCTCATGGGAGGAGGGCCTTTGGGCAATGTTGCCTGGGAGAAGGATACATTAGACACCAAGTTCACCTGAAAAAAACAAAAACACAGCAGTTAAGTCAGGAAAACATCAGTGTAACTACAAGCAAAACAATATTTATTTTAATTGAAGGAAGCAGTCATAGCAGGTACTTACAGGCTGCACTGCGGGTTTGGGTTCAGAGGACTTGAGATGAGCCATCATAGCCTGCAGTCGTTCTTTGTCCTTTTTCAGCTGTGTTAGATGAGAGGACCAAAATAGAAGTTGAGAGTTGGCAAATTCCCGGCTTGTGTTAAATGACTAAATGACATTCGGTGTGGATACCATTTCTTTTCTGGCATCCTGAAAAGTGTAATCATCTAAAAACATCACTTCTGTCGCCAGACCTGGTGCGAAAACACACCACCACTGCTGACATTTAACATGCAGTTTTTAGAAATCTCTTCCTTTTCTTTTTCAATAGTTTAAAATAAAGGACTGGAAACTCCACTCTACCAAACAACAGGGCTACTCGATTATGGCAAAAATCATAATCACGTACGTATATTTTGGTCCTAATTGACATCACAATTATTAACAAGGTTACTGATTGACTTAAGAAACATCATGCATTTATTTCACTTTTAAAATTGAATGCTTCATTACTTTAAATAAAGGTGCATTATCCCAAATGAAGCCCATGAATTAATAAAAAGTAATTGAATATTATTACATCTTAGAGCGCAAGAGTATGACAGCAGCAGTGTTTCCCCAGGTTGACTGCTTTGTAAGATTCAGTTACTAAAAAAAAAAAAAAACTATAGAAAAGTATGAATTCAGTAATATGGCAGGGACAGTGAATATTTTACAAGCACAGACCAGGTAAAGCAGGGCT